AAAACAACTTTCATCCATATATATATATATATATAATGTACATAAAAAATGTGTCGTCATGAATCACAAAGAAATCTCGTGGATGGCTAAGAAGTGATGTGGGCCCAAAGGGGCTACTAAGAATGACCTAGACCCACATGCTCAACAGGCCAGCCCACACATACTGGGAAGACGGATAAAGTGTAGGTCACCTCTGAAGAATCCATCAGACCAGACCCACTCGGATGAACCTGTCGCCCTCCAATTTGGATAGATCGAGCGATTGACGTGGATCCTCAGCAAGTAGTCGCCTGGCCTCAAGGGCGTCATATTTGATAACCGCCCGACCCAACAACCGCTCGACCTCACAGCCGCTCGGTTTGAGGGCCCCACAGCTTAACAATAGCCCGACCACATTCATGAACCTCAGACCCATGTTTATGGACTGAAATACCCCAACGGTACCTACATATTTTAGGGATACATTGTGTAATCATTGTTGACCCGTTTTTATAGATATGGGTCTATTTTATGAATAAAGGTTAGGCAAAATTAATGTTCATTACTGCATTATTTCTATCTCTCTCTTTATTTCTCTCATCCTTCAGTGCTATATTTTTAGGTGTGTCTCCCAGACATATTTGAATTCAACATCCTAAAAGGTGTCGTGAACTGAAGTAATATCGTCAACAAGAAGAAGAGCACATCGATCATAGAGAGAAGGAAGTGCTCAAAGAGTAGTAGCTAATGCAGATCCTCCACGAAATGACATCGAGGAACGTATGCAGAGAGGAATGCGGGAAATGAGAACTCGGATCATGGATCAGGTGTCACGCCAGATCGTTGAAATTATGAGGGTTGTCACAGCTCTGACAGGAAATCAATCCCCATAAGAATAGAGTCAGCCAAAGGAGGTGGTGTCAGTGCACAAAGGCAGGAGGGCGAACAACAGTCCTTAGGGGGCTTAGCGACTCATAGTATCAAGATAGTGCAAGATCTGTGTAGGTGGAAATGCAGCGGTTAGGGAGCACTGAGGCACCGCATCAGCCGGAGAATCCTTTCTCCCTCCAAGTATCTGGAGTGAAGCCCCCATAAATATTCAAATGGCTGGCCTTAGAGGCGCGATCAGACTCCATAGACCATGTCGATGCATTTGAGTCAACTGTGTGCTTACTCAAGATCTTAAATGCATTCAAGTGTAGTCTATTTTTCACCACTTTGAGGTCATCTGCCATGAAGTGGTCCATGCACTTCCAGCTGCAAGCATCAATAATTTTTTTTGATTTTAAGAGGTTATTTTTAGCACAATTCGCCAGTGCCCGAAAGCCCATAAAGAGCATGCAGTCCTTGTGGCAACTCAAGCATGGTCAGCACGAGAGTCTATGACCATTCATAGCATGCTTCTAGAGGGAGATGTCGGAAGTGAAACTACTTAAGGGCAACGCAATTGTAGCCACCCTGAAGCAAGCCTTGGGGTTTTAGAGGTTTTTCTTATGACCTCAGCATTAATGAACTCCAAAACTTGACTGAGTTGTTGGAGAGAGGCAACAATCACATGTTGGCGGAGGAAAGTAACCCCAAGCTAGAACCAGAAGGGCGCCATTCCTAGAAGAGAGCTCCCCCCAGTGGCGGTTCGAAGCCAAGTGAGGAACACAGGCCACCCGTCCGACGACGTTTCGAAGACGACCGATCCTCTCAGAACAACGAAAGGACCAAACAGTACAACCAGCATGGGGTCAAGTAAGAAATCAAGACACGTGGTAGGCCTGATATTATAAGAGGCTGACAAAACGTTATGAATAGCCATATAAAAATTATGAGGGCTTGTGAGCTACCCCTTTCAGGGTGTCAATGGTAGAAATCGTGGACGCCCTCTAGGATAAAAAATACTTCAACAAACCCATGCCAAAGAGAGCTGGAGGTTTTCTCCGGGAAGCGAGGAAATATTTTAAAGATCACCGGGATCATGGCCAAGACACAGAGGAATGTAGGAACCTCTGAAGTTTCATCAAGGAGTTGTTCAAGGCGAGGAAGCTGAAGGAGTTTGTGCAGGGACACTCGGGTCAAAGCCATGAAAAAGCACTAGCAATAGAGGGCCATCCTGGGCCCGTCCGGACGAATGTCATTCATGTAATCGGGATAGTCTTGGTTATCCTCAGAGGAACATATGCCCCTCAGTGGAGCTCCCAGAAGAGAGCTAGAGCGGGCGAGTCGTGCAACCTCACATCCATGTAAAGAAGAGGAGGTTTTCCTCTCATCAAGTTCACAGACAACGATCTTCCCCAACGAGGAAAACTTTATTACAAAACCATAGTCATTACGGGGATAATCAGTAACTTCAAAGTCGAGAGCATTCTCAATGATACTGGCAGCTCCGTGAAAATTTTATTCAAGTTAGTGTTCGATAAGTTTAATCTTCAGACCGATCAGTTAGTACTGTCGGTCGACCCACCATTTGGTTTTTTAGGTGAAAGAAAGGACGCGTTGAGTGTAATTTCATTGGCAGTCACCTAGGGCGGGGAAGAGAAGTAGTTGACAAAAATAGAGGATTTTCTAATCATGGATTCGACCCCAACCTACAATGCCATTTTTGGTTGACCGCTGTTAAATCGCTTTAGAGTTTTGGTATCCACCTACCACGTTACAGTAAAGTTCTTAGTAGTCGGAGAAATAGTCATTATCATGGGAGATTTGAAACAATCACGAGTTTGCTACCTTCGGTTTGTCGGGAGCGTGGAGCAGATATCATTTGATTTGTAGAACCGGAAGGAGAGCGGTCTCGAAACCAGTGAGGCCACATAGGAAATCCTCATCAACAATAACAAACCCAGAAAATCTTTCTTAATAAGTGACAGTTTTGATGCAAGACATCAGG